GGGGGGAATGGCTGCGGCCAGGTAAGCTGGTGGTCAAGCAGCCTGAGGCTGGGATTTTGTGGTGACCCAATCCTGTCCAGATGTTTGGATTTTCTCGTGACACAGAGCTCAGTTGCTGAGCGGGAAGCAGAGTGACGTGGATTGAGACTGCTTAACTCAGAGGCTGCTTATGTCTCAGAGATGACATGAGAATATGGCAGTGGCCTTGGGAGGTCCCTGTCCTCAGGGACCAGACCACATTTTGGTGCAGGACACAGACACGTTAGCAAGGGCAGGTTAGAGTGGGCACTGAGAAAGCGAGCAGTGAGAGCACCTACCAGGGTCCTGTGGTCAGTCCTGCCATGTTCAGGAAACAGTGGAGGTGAGGGTTGGGGGACACGGGGAAGAAGTTGTCAGAGGTGGACTCTGGGGCACTGAGGCCTGGAGAGGACGGGAGTCACACGGCAGGAGTGTTGCTTTAGAGTCTCCCTTGGGGGGAGGGAGGTGGGGCAGGGTGGCCTGGAGAGGTGACATCAGGAGAGTGTGGCCATGTGGGTTTTGCCTCTCCTAAAGCCTGTTCCACTCAAGCTTTTGTGCCCCCAACTTCCAGTGGTCAGTCCCCAGCCCACATCTGCTTGAGCAGCAGCAGCGTTTGGTGCAGCGGATCTCTCCCGCCTTGAAGCATTGTCTTCCCTGGCTTCCAAGGCTGCTCCTGCTCTCACCTCTGGTCCTGTCCCCTTGCCCACGGCTGTCAGTCAAGATGTGTGCGGGGACCCTGGCCTTGACTTCTCTGTATGCCCACTCCCAGGGCTCCCTTCCAGCTTGGTGGCTGTACTGTGTTCTGATTGTCTCCACATTGCTCTCTCCAGCCTAGACCCTGTCCCTGAACTGTGGCCTCCTCCATCCCGTCCTGCTGCCTGCCCACCATCTCCACCAGCAGGTTGCAGGGGGAGGTTTCTAAGAGGCCTCTCAAAGTCAGCTTGTCCCAAACTGAGCCCTCCACCTGCACGCCAAACCCATTCTTCTTTCACCTTTGCTATCTCAGTCCATGGCAGTTTTATCCTTCCAGGTGTTCAGGCCCAGCGTTTTCCTGACCCCCAACCCGCTTCTTCACATCCACATCTACTACGTCAGCATGTCCCATCTGCCCTGTTTAATCTGTTAACCCTCAAGAAATCCACTGAATAGCTCATAACATACAGTGTACTTGGCTCTGTGCATGTGAGCCTATATAATAATATATTTGTAGCTGGGCGCAGTGGCTCACGCCTATAATCCCAGCATTTTGGGAGGCCAAGGCAGGTAGATCACCTGAGGTCAGCCTGGCCAACATGGTGAAACCCCGTCTATACTAAAATACAAAAATTAGCCAGGTGTGGTGGTGGGCGCCTGTAATCTTAGCTACTCAGGAGGCTGAGGCATGAGAATTGCTTGAATCTGAGAGGCAGAGGTTGCAGTGAGCCAAGATCGCGCGATTGCATTCCAGCCTGGGCGACAAAACGAGACTGTGTCTCAAAAAATGATAATTATATATTTGTAATAGTTACAGAAATTTGCTGCATCTAAAAAAAGACGTGCAAAATATTCTCCGGTATTTTAAATTTTGTGTGAGAGACAGAATAATGACAGGTAGATGGGATGTATGGGACACTGGGTTTGAGTAAGCCCTAGGCGTGTCCTGCCAAAAGGCCCCAAGCCTCCGTGGAACGCACTTGCACCTGAGAAGTCCTGCAGAAGAGGAGCCGCAGGCTCCTTAGGGGAAGAAATGTTCATTCTGCAGCGCACACTGGGTAATTGGAGCAGAAGGAGGGCCATTAGACCCTAGTATCTGTGTCTGCGCCTAGGGGTGGAGAGAGTGGTGTCTGCTGGGAGCACAGCGGGGCTCAGGGGCTTTTGAGTCCAGGAAAGGTGATCTTCACTCCAGCCTGCTTCTTGGGACCAGGTGAGGCTTCAAGCTCTGAGGAAGAGCCTCCATCCCCAGATGATAAAGAGAACCAGGCCCCGAAACGGACTGGCCCACATCTGCGCTTCGAGATCAGCAGTGAGGATGGGTTCAGCGTGGAGGCAGAGAGCTTGGAGGGTGAGTTTGGGGGGTGCAGTGGCAGGAGGGAGAGTGTCCATAAAACACCATCCTGACTCAGCCCTGGCTCTGCTGTCTCCCCAGGGGCGTGGAGAACTCTGATCGAGAAAGTGCAAGAGGCCCGAGGGCATGCCCGACTCAGACATCTCTCCTTTAGTGGTAAGGAGTGGGCCCCGCAGGGGGCTGGGGGCTGGATGTCTCCCTGAGGGCACCATGGGCCCTCCACATGACAGGTGTGTCCTCAACATTTCCTCTCAGGAATGAGTGGGGCGAGACTCCTGGGCATCCACCACGATGCTGTCATCTTCCTGGCCGAGCAGCTTCCCGGAGCCCAGCGTTGCCAGCACTATAAGTTCCGTTACCACCAGCAGGGAGAGGGCCAGGAGGAGCCGCCCCTGAATCCCCATGGGGCTGCTCGGGCAGAGGTCTATCTCCGGTGAGAGGTCTAGGGTGTGATGCCTGGGTCAGGATGCTCCTATGAGAGCTCTTGAGGGTGGGAGTTAACTGTGTAGTTACATATTTATATACTGTATATATACTATATATTTTTATATATATGTGGAGGTTGGAAACAGGCCTGGGGAGGAGACACTAGGTCACTTCAAGAGTTATTTCTAGAGTTGGCCATGCTCAGTGGCTCACGCCTGTAATCCCACCACTTTGGGAGGCTGAGGCAGGAGGATCACATCAGCCCAGGGTTCGAGACCAGCGTGGGCAACATGGCAAAACCGCATCTGTAAAATAAAAATTTAAAGAAGAGGCCGGGCGCGGTGGCTCAAGCCTGTAATCCCAGCACTTTGGGAGGCCGAGACGGGTGGATCACGAGGTCAGGAGATCGAGACCATCCTGGCTAACCCGGTGAAACCCCATCTCTACTAAAAAAATACAAAAAACTAGCCGGGCGAGATGGCGGGCGCCTGTAGTCCCAGCTACTCGGGAGGCTGAGGCAGGAGAATGGCGTAAACCCGGGAGGCGGAGCTTGCAGTGAGCTGAGATCTGGCCACTGCACTCCAGCCTGGGTGACAGAGCGAAACTCCGTCTCAAAAAAAAAAAAAAAAAAATTTAAAAAGAAGAGTTGTTTCTGAGGCTGACACAGACGGGAACCCACACCCATTTCTGTTGGCCCTGTCTTCAATAGGCACATATTCATAAGCTACTGCTCCCACCTGCAGGAGTGCACCTTTGACATGTTCAACTACAGCGCACTCCCAGCTTAAAAAAAAAAAAAAAAAAAATTTAAAGAAGAGTTATTTCTAGAGCTGACATAAGAACGAACCCCACCCATTTCTGTTAGCCCTGTCTTCAATAGTATATTCCTCCTTCCCCTGCTCCCACCTGCAGGAAGTGCACCTTTGACATGTTCAACTTCCTGGCCTCCCAGCACCGGGTGCTCCCTGAGGGGGCCACCTGTGACGAGGAAGAGGATGAGGTGCAGCTCAGGTCAACCAGGTATGGAGTGTGAGCTGGGGGGCAGGTGGTGGTCTGGAAGGGTCTAGAGAGAGAGCACGGATGAGAGAGGTCTTTCTGAGCACCAGCCTGGGTGACCCTGCTGTCCCTCACCAGACGTGCCACCAGCCTGGAGCTGCCCATGGCCATGCGCTTTCGTCACCTTAAGAAGACGTCCAAAGAAGCTGTGGGTGTCTACAGGTGAGTGGGGTTGGGGGGGAGGATGCCCCTTGGGTGGACGGACAGGTGCACTGGGTAGGGGGTACCGCCTGCTTTCTGTCCCCCTGCCCCCTGAGTTCCCTGTTTGTCCTGCCCTGCAGATCAGCCATCCACGGGCGAGGCCTGTTCTGTAAGCGCAACATCGATGCAGGGGAGATGGTCATCGAGTACTCTGGCATCGTCATCCGCTCCGTGCTGACTGACAAGCGGGAGAAGTTCTACGATGGGAAGGTGGGCTCCCAGTGGCCGTGGGAAGACAGTGGGTGAAGCGAGCCTGTCCACAGGGACAGAGCACCTGATCTTCCCACCTCATCCCCGCAGGGCATCGGGTGCTATATGTTCCGCATGGATGACTTTGATGTAGTGGACGCCACGATGCATGGCAATGCCGCCCGCTTCATCAACCACTCTTGTGAGCCCAACTGCTTCTCTCGGGTCATCCATGTGGAGGGCCAGAAACACATTGTCATCTTCGCCCTGCGCCGCATCCTGCGTGGTGAGGAGCTCACCTACGACTACAAGTTCCCCATCGAGGATGCCAGCAACAAGCTGCCCTGCAACTGTGGCGCCAAGCGCTGCCGTCGGTTCCTTAACTGAGGCCGTGGTTGCCCACCACGACCCCTCACACCTCCTGCTGCCGTCGCTGCCATCTTGCCCCTAGCCTGGGGGCCCCCCAGCCCCTCCCAGAGCATCTCACCCCCATCCTCATGTTCAGGGTGGATGTGGGCATGCAGGCGACAAGGGCCCTGCCTCCACCCCTCCAGCCCACCCAGCAATCGCCCCCTTTCTGCCCTGGGGGCCCAGGATGTAGATATTGTACAAAAGTTTCTAAATCCCTTCTTTTCTATGCACTTTTTTATTTAAGAGGTGGGGTCCCAGGTGGGAACCCCCCCACAATAAAGTCTGTCAATGTTTGGAGAGGTGGTCTTCCCATTTCTAGGGTATGGGGGCAGGTAGGAACCCCACTTCTACACACCCACCCATCATAAGCCAAGGAAGTTCATCAGCCTCAACAGATAGGTGAGGCCATCATTGAGAATTAGAAGTCAGTCGTGGGGTCTGTTACGGCTTCAGAACAACACAACACAGCACGTGTCTGTAGCAGGGCTGTTGCCCAGAGGGGATTCTGGTGGCCCAGAGGCACCTGGGGTCAACCCTCCCACATGTGGCCCTGTGTGTATGTTAGAATAGGCCCTTCTAGGGCAAAGAGCAGTGAGGATAGCTGTTGGGTCTTTGCCTAATTAGGATTGTACTTCAAGAAGTACTTCAATGCTAATTGTATACTGGGCTTAGTAGTCAACAAAGTTCTTTATTGAATGTTAAGCCCAACAAACCCCAGATCAGCCAAGCTTGGACAGCACCTGCAATGCATCTGCCCGCCCTAGCTGGGCGAGGTGTGTGCCAAGCTGGCCCAGAGAGGCAGAGGGCTCCCTTGCCACCACCATCTCAATCAGAGCCCGCAGCGGCGAGCGACTCGGCCGCAGCGAATAGGCAAAGGTGGACCAGGCGGCAGGCAGCCCGTATCTCGCGGCCAGGTGTCGAGTAGTGCCATGGGCCATGCCCCCACCTGGCCCAGGCTCAGGGTCCAGCAGTACAATCAGCTCTTCCAGCACCTCCAGCTCATCCAGGAGGCGAGACAGGGGCTGTGACCCCAGACCGGGCAGTTCTGGAAGAAAGGGGAAGGGTAAAGGGGAGGAAGGGTGGGCGTCCAGTCCACCTTGCCCGCCCCAGGGCTCCTCCAGGACTAACCCCTGCTCAGGAGTGGAAGTAGAGAGGCCTTCCATGTGTCCCCTGTCTCCAGGGCGCCTGGGGAGGACAGATGCGAGGAGGAAGGGGCGTGGGTGTTGGGGACTCTGCAGACCAAGCCAGGATAGGGATAGGGGTCGGCTTTCTCCTTGGGCCGGCAGAGGTGCCAGAGCAGAATGAACAGGAGGATCGCTATCACCGCCAAGGTCAGGAGCAGGACCAGCACCAACAGCGGGAGGAAAGTCGGCAAGGCCTGCTGAGGGATGGGCTCAGGGGTCCTCCAGGCAATGGAACTTGCTGGTGAGCTGCGCTCCTGGGAGCTAGGGGCGCCTGGGTTTCCAGGTGTGTGGGGGCAGGGCCTCTTGGCAGGGACCGGCCTCTGGGGATAAGGGGTTGGAGTAAAGCTGGAGGCCACACTCCACTCCTGCCCGCTCCCAAACCTTCCATCTTTATACCCTTTAACTGGGCCAAACCATCTGATACGGTACCTGATAAGGTAGTTGGGCCCCGCAAGGCCCAACTACCTTAACGTAGGAGCTCCCGACCCCTGCAGGCCAGTCACCTCCCGAAACCACGGCCCCACCCCTTACGTGGGGCTACGCCCGCTCCCTACATCTAGGCCCCCCACCTCCGGCATGCCCTTGCCCGGCCGGGAGTCCCATCCGCACCTCTCTGCAGCGCCACAGGGTTCTGCCCCCGCCCGCGGCGGGAGTAGGAGTGACGGCTCCGCTGCCGCAGGGGCTACATAGCTCCGCACCGTCGGGGTTGCACTGCCCAGAAGGACACTCTCGGAACGGGAGCGTTACGAAATCGCCGTGGTCATTGAGCCCGCAGTTTTCCCGGAACTCATAGTCTAGCGGGAAAGCTGCTCTCCAGCGCGGCCGTCTAGCCCGCCCCTGCTCAGGCAACGCCCTCTCCCTTCGCCCTATCCCAGCGTGCCCCGCCCCTCCAGGGCGCTCCCAGCCTATCAGCGTGCGCTCCGCTCCTGTCACTTTTCTCCGGGCTTGCCTTTTCATTCCCCGCCTGCTCGGCTCCGAGCTCCGCCCACTCCCGGTTTATCTACATAAAGCCCACCCTTTCCACCGGGCCCCTATCCCGCCACTCCAGCCATATCCCTTCGCTGTTGCCCTACGGTAGCCCGCACTATCTGCACAGGCTCTGCCTGCCATCCCTGTGTGATCTACATAAGGCCCACCGCTTAGACCCCTAAGCAAGACTCTCTGGCCCGTAGCCCACAGACCTCACCCCTTCCCCGCTCCCTATCACCTGCAAGCTCCGCCCAAGCAAGGCTGGGTCTCGGATTCTCACCCGGGCAGGGGGGCGGCCCGAAGCGCTGCAGGCAGCTGCTGCAGCACTTGTTGTCTGGGTTCCAGTATTCAAGGCGGCCGCAGTACTGGGAGGCTTCCGGCAGTGACGCCAGAGCCAGAAGCAGCAAGGCTGTCAGGAGGCATCGTCCAGGCCCCATCTCGGGGGCCGTGATAGCGGAACCTCCAAACACAGCGCCTCTGCCACACTTTCCGGGGAAACCGGGCAGAAGAAAGGACGCGGTGATGTGGGGGAACAGAATTCCCACGCCTCTTCGGAAGCCGGGAATCTACCCTCGAGTCCCCATCCCCCAACTGAGCCGGTTATCAGAGAAGCCCACAAAGCCAAAAGGGGACTAAGAGAGAGCACTGCGGATCTAGATTGTAAGAATGCATATCCCACCTCTGCCATTTCCTCACCCACCCACCTTCCCTTTTCCATCCCTAAAATGAGACAATAATAGCACCTGTCTCATAGGGTTATTGTGGAGAATTAGAACCGTTATTAGAAGTAAAGCAGGGGCTGGGTGCGGTGGCTCATGCCTGTAATCCCAACACTTCAGGAGGCCAAGACAGGAGGACCACTTGAGCCGAGGAGTTCGAGAGATCAGCCTGGACAACAAAATGAAACCCCGTCTCTACAAAAAAAAAAAAAAAAAAAAAAAAAGGCAAAGCACTTTGCCAAGTGCAGTGGCTCGCATCTGTAGTCCCTGCTAGGTGGGAGGATTGCTTGAGCCACGAATTATAGACCAGCCTGGGCAACACAGTAAGACCTCATCTCTAAAAACAAAACCAAAAAAACTGGCTGCCGGGCGCAGTGGCTCACGCCTGTAATCCCAACACTTTGGGAGGCTAAGGTGGGTGGATCACCTGAAGTCAGTAGTTCAAAACCAGCCTGGCCTACATGGTGAAATGCTGTTTCTATTAAAAATACAAAATTAGCTGGGCATGATAGCGCATGCCTGTAAATCCCAGCTACTTGGGAGTCTGAGGCAGGAGAATTGCTTGAATCTGGGAGGTGGAGGCTGCAGTGAGCTGAAATTGTGCCATTGCACTCCAGCCTGGGCAACAAGAGTGAAACTTTTTTTTTTTTTTTTTTTTTTTGAGACGGAGTCTCGCTGTGTCGCCCAGGCTGGAATGCAGTGGCCGGATCTCAGCTCACTGCAAGCTCCCCCTCCCGGGTTCACGCCATTCTCCTGCCTCAGTCTCCTGAGTAGCTGGAACTACAGGCGCCCGCCACCTCGCCTGGCTAGTTTTATGTATTTTTTAGTAGAGACGGGGTTTCACCGGGTTAGCCAGGATGGTCTTGATCTCCTGACCTCGTGATCCGCCCGTCTCGGCCTCCCAAAGTGCTGGGATTACAGGCTTGAGCCACTGAGCCCGGCCAAGAGTGAAACTCTTTTAAAAAAAACAAAACACAAACAAGCTAAAGTGCTGAAAATAGCACCTTACATATAGTAAACTCAATGTTTAAGTGTAAGGCATTACTCACTCCCATCTCAATTTGGCAGGGACGGAGGAGACAGCCCTGTACTGACTGAGACAACCTCCCAGCACCTCACCTCACCTCACCTTCCAATCCTCATCTCCTTGGGGCTAGGACTCCTGCCACCTGCCACAACCAGGTCTCTCCCCCTTGAATAAACCTTAGATGGAGGTGCTAAGGTTTTCAGCACAAAGGTGTCCCCACCCTACCAGTACCGTTAGGGTCCTGGGTCCCAAGCTGCCCGTGCCAAGTTCCTCAGCTGAAGTTGTGGCCGGGACCCAGTCTTGTTTCCCCTTTTCGTCACATGTGTGGGTGGAGGGAAATGCCAAACCACAGCAAAAGCAAGTTGATACCGAAGCAAAACACGGAGCTTTATTAAGACAAGGGCGGTAGAAGAAAGTTTCCATGCTGAACAGATTACATTATGGAGCCCGGGAGCCTGGGAAAGATGGGCCAGGAGAGTGAAGGGGACTTTGAGGAGAGGTCCTGCCAGAAATATTTGTCCCTGTCCGGGGTGAAGGGTAAGAGGGTAAGGGGGCCAGGGCCTCAGAAGCGGCCATGCCGGTGATCAGGGGAACGCTGACGGTTCCCCTCTCCGGGACAGTGGCTAGTATGGAACCTCGGGGGTGACCCGGGAATAGGAGTGTTGAGAGTTAGGTTAGAATGCTGAGGAGTGGTGCAGAGATCCTGCAGGCCTGCCTCTCTGCTCTGGGATGAGGCAGGAGGGTGCTGAAATAACTAGAGTTCTAAGACATGGCCTCAGTGGCCAGCATCGGGGTACTCAGTGGCCAGTATCAGGCCAGGCTAGTCGTGGATTAGGGGTTCAGGCTGGTTTGGGGATTGGGACTTAGGTACTGGTCTCCAGATGGGGCTCAGAACTACTCTTAGGGTATAAGAGTCTTGGGAATGACCAGGCGCGCTAGCTCACGCCTGTAATCCCCACACTTTGGGAGGCCAAGATGGGTGGATTACCTGAGGTCAGGAGTTCGAGACCAGCCTGGCCAACATGGTGAAACCCCGTCTCTACTAAAAATACAAAAATTAGCCAGGTGTAGTGGTGGGCACCTGTAATCCCAGCTACTTGGAAGGCTGAGAAAGGAGAATTGCTTGAACCTGGGAGGCAGAGGTTGCAGTGAGCTGAGACCATGCCTTTGCACTCCAGCCTAGGGAAGAAGAGCAAAACTCCGTCTCAAAAAAAAAAAAAAAAAGAGTCAGCCAGGAGTGGTGGCTCACACCTGTAATCCCAGCACTTTGGAGAGCGAGGCTGGTGGATCACGAGGTTAGGAGTTCAGACCAGCCTGGCCAAGATGGTGAAACCCCGTCTCTACTAAAAATACAAAAATTAGACGGGCATGGTGGCGGGCACCTGTAATCCCAGCTACTTGGGAGGCTGAGGCAGAGAATTGCTTGAACCTGGGAGGCAGAGGTTGCAGTGAGCCAAGATTGTGCCACTGCACTCTAGGCCAGGCGATAGAGCGAGTCTCCATCTCAAAAAAAAAAAAAAAAAAAAAAAAAAGAGTCTTGGGAACGTTGTTACTAGGGCTTAGGGTCAGGCTCATCTGAGGATATAGGGGCCTTAGGACATGAGGAGACATAGCAGGCTGGTCTTGAGGTACCTGCACCTGGGTCCCCGCCCATAGAACTCCCTCCGGAGGTTCTGGGAAATGGGCTGCAGATGCATGAAGTTGCAGAAGCCACCTCGGGTACATTCCCTGCATAGAGAGATGGAGGAGGCCATTGTCACTGACAGTCCCTACCACACATTCAAAGTCTGGGATTCCAAGTGCCCATCCCACCCTTGAACTACCATACCCCATCTCATACTGGCAACAGCATGACTCTCGAAAGTCAGTGACAGGAGACAGTTCAGGGTGCACAGCCTGCCCATTGAACCAGCGGTTATTGAGTTCAGCCACGGCCCGCTCTGCATCCTCTTCCCGCCAGAACTGCAGGAAACGTCAGTCGGGGTCAGCAGGAGAACTCAGAGATCTTCAGGGTACTCATTAGCAGCTCTGGGGCTGGACTGGATTTAGTGATGAACTTCAAGCTGAGAGCCTTCAGTGGCCACCATCAGTCATTGAAATGCCTCCACCTCTGGGCCCTAAGCGGGGGACAGCAAGCACCTTGACATAGACGTTGCCCACGAGGTGGTCCCCAAGGTTGTCGCACACATTCATCTCTTCAATCTCCCCATACTTCTCCTGCAATTCTGTGAACACCTCCTGTGGAAGACAGAGAGGAACTCAGCTGAGCTCCCACAAGAAACCCAACCTACCCCTGCCAACTCTCACCTCGAAGAAGCTATCATAGTGCTCCTGCACCTCCACGTCGCTCACATGACCTGGGGGACGGGGGTAGGGTGTAATCAGGGCGTAGCCTCCTGGGGGCTATTCACCTTGCCCCCAGGCCTGGTTCCTTACTCACAGTGTGATCTGTCTGCAGTTTGGGCTGTATTCTGTGGATTCCGGTACAGGTTGAGCAGCACTATGGTCTGCACAGAATTTAAAAGGGGCGGGGCCTGAGCTCAGAGGGCAGGGCTGCATGTAAAGAGAGTGAGGCATGAAGGTTGGGGGTGGAACCTTGCACCCCAGCCTAAGCATGGTGAGTGCATCGGCGATCCTTTTCCCCTAAGAAACCAGAAACGGGAAGGAGGGGACTGACAAGAACGAACAGCCGCGGTGTGTAAGGTATACGCATGGGAGCGCGACCAAGTTCCCAGGAGACGGGCAGGAAGACTGGTGGGAGGAGCCTGCAGAAAGGTCCAATCAGAAAAAAAGCCGGGCGGTAGGGAGGGCCTCAGGAACTCGGAATAGGCGGGACATGGTGACTACGGCGCCAGAAGAGGAAGGGCCAAGGAGGCGTTAACTCCAGAAGTTCCGTGTCGAGTCTCACCTGGCTGAATGTCGGCTTGTTGTGAAGCCGGGAGCACCGGTCTCCGTGCCGGCAGGCCCCGATCTTAAAGTAAAAAGAGTAGTTAACCCTGGAAGAGGTGCAAAGACAGAGGTGAACCGAGGGCTGGGGAGGCGGGACACCCCAGAAACGCCGCCCCACCACCCAGGACCCCAGTACCCCGGCCTCGACCCCCCGAGAGTCCACTCCCAGCGCCCGTTCTCACTTGTCCTTCTCAGTTCCGAATATCGAAGCTAAATATTCAGCCATTTTTACCCAAGCCCTCCAGTTCTGGCTGCTCTTACATCACTTCCGTTGCTTAGGAGCGCTGGGAAGTGTAGTTCGTTGCCCCCCTCCAGGCGCTTACCAAGCTCTCGGAAACGCCCCAGGGCGCTTGCGCGTGGGAGACGCGCGACTCCCCGGTAGGAAGTCTCTCAACGGCGCATGCGTGCAGTGTTGCCTCGCCCAAAGAAGACTACAATCTCCAGGGAAACCTGGGGCATCTCGCGCATACGTCCATAACTGAAAGTGGCTAAGGCATCCCAGCCGGAGGAAGTGAGCTCTCCCGGTAAGTTGGGGGTCGTTTCGCCCCCCCTAGTAAATATAAAGAGCTCTTTAATCCAGCCAGCTTGCTAGTGGGGGCGGGGATGCTCTGCTTTCAGCAAACCCACCTTTACATTTATCTCTGATTTGTTGTAATAGGGGCGTGGTTGTTCGTGATCCTTGCATCTGTTACTTAGGGTCAAGGCTTGGGTCTTGCCCCGCAGACCCTTGGGACGACCCGGCCCCAGCGCAGCTATGAACCTGGAGCGAGTGTCCAATGAGGAGAAGTTGAACCTGTGCCGGAAGTACTACCTGGGTAAGGGCAGATCACTAGGGTTCAAGGAAAAGAGAGGGGACTGGACTAGAGCACCCGAGGGAAGAGGGCCTCGGGGCCTGGATTCGTGAGTCTAAGAGATGAAGCACCTCTGAACGCCGACTCCTGGATTTGAGCGGGGAGGGCCTGAGTCCTGAGGAATGAGGAAGCTGGGGCCTCAGTTTCTGGATCCCAAGAGAGGAGGGGGATTGAGGGCCTGGACTCTTGGGTCCAGCGAAAGAGATGGTTGAGGAATCAGATTGCTGGATCCCAAAGAGGAGGCAGATTCCTGAGTCCCTGACAGCAGAAATCTCCATTTGAACTTGAGTGTGGGAGAGTTTCTTCCAAATAGATCTTCTGAGTGGGAGTTGGAGATCTTCATTGCCTTATGAGGTTTTAGGGTTTGTGTGGTTTTTTTTTCTTTCTCCCTAGGTGGATTTGCTTTCCTGCCTTTTCTCTGGTTGGTCAACATCTTCTGGTTCTTCCGAGAGGCCTTCCTTGTCCCAGCCTACACAGAACAGAGCCAAATCAAAGGCTGTGAGTCCAGAGTACAGAGGAGGGAGGCCAGTGGCTGGGGAGAGGGGGAAGCGGGGGAGTCTTGGTGGGAAGGGACAATGGAGGATCCAGAATTTTGGGGCTCTGGGTGAGAAGGGAAGGCTGGTCTAGGGAAGTCTGGAGAGCAGCAAGAGGCCAACCCTTCCCACTTCTGTTTCCCATGACAGATGTCTGGCGCTCAGCTGTGGGCTTCCTCTTCTGGGTGATAGTGCTCACCTCCTGGATCACCATCTTCCAGATCTACCGGCCCCGCTGGGGCGCCCTTGGGGACTACCTCTCCTTCACCATACCTCTGGGCACCCCCTGACAACTTCGGCACAGACTGGAACCCTGCTCATTCTCTCAGGACAGGCTCCTTAGAGCAGAGGAGCCTGTCCTGGGAGCCCCTTCTCAAACTCCTAAGACCTGTTTTCATCTCCCCTGTTCTCTGCTGACATCACCCAATAAAGGACCCTAACTTTCAATACTGACTTCCTGGGATCTTTTAGAGGTTGAGGCATAAATGATTATTAATATTTAAAAACATTTGTTGAGTGCTTTGTGCCAGGCTTAGTATTTAGACATGATGTACATTTTTTACAGTAAATACTACTCATAATCTTCTGAACTAGGAACTTTCCTGCTTAGGAAACTATTAGATGAGGAACTAAGAAAGGAATAGTGCTTCCGTTTCTTTTTTTTTTTTTTTTTTTTTTTGAGACAGTCTTGCTCTGTTGCCCAGGCTGGAATGCAGTGGTACAATTGGTCTAGTGCTTCCATTTCTAGGGGCTGTTACCCTGTACTGGTAGTCGTGAATTCAAAAACATAACTTTCCTACTGTGGGCTTCAGTATTCTCATCAGAAGTGTAGATCACAATGCTACCTCCTAGGATTTATTTGGACCAAGATGTGTGATAAATCCAGGTTTCCCGTTTTCTGAAGGAAGTGTTGTCTGCAAAAATAAAAATAGTCAAGAGCTTTCTCAGAGAATCCTTCCTTGACCATCCATCTTATTTAAAATTCAATCACCACCTTGATATTCCTATGTCCGTTTAAGGCTACACTTTTTTTGTGGGTTTTTTTTTTTTTTTTTTGGTGGGGGGGGTGGGGATTTGTTGTTGTCTGTTTTTCGAGATGGAGTCTTGCTCTGTCGCTCAGGCTGGAGTGCAGAAGTGCGATGTCAGCTCACTGCAACCTACGCCTCCCGGGTTCAAGCGATTCTCCTGCCTCAGCCTCTGGAGTAGCTGGAATTACAGGGGCATGCCATCAGTCCCGGCTAATTTTTGTATTTTTGGTAGAGACGGGGTTTCACCACGTTGGCCAGGCTGGTCTCGAACTCCTGGTCGCAGGTGATCTGCCCGCCTCGGCCTCCCAAAGGGCTGATACTTACAGGTGTGGGCCACCGTGCCCTGCCCAGACTATATTCTTTCTCCTATTACATTTCACTTAGAATGTTTTACTTGTTTACTGTTTATCTTCCATCCTTTAAAAGATAAGCCCTATTACGGCAGGGATTTTTGTCTGTTCTGTTCCTCAAGGTGTCCCCAATGCCTAGAAGAGTGCCCGGCATACTAATAAATATTTGCAAAATGAATGAAGTTGTACCTGCAAAGAGATTAACTGGTACCTGTCACCTAGAGAGTGCTCAGTGAGAGGGAACCCAACGTTATTTTACACTAGTCTTCCTCTTAGGGATGAAGGGACTCCAACGGTTGGTTAAATATGGTAAAGAGCTAAATTGGTGTCGCTCAACCCTTCTAACACTACAAGTCCCGGGAAGCCTCGCGATGCCCTAATCCTTTGTTTCCCACCGTGCCCCGCGCGGCGCAGGCGCTGTTACTCCGGGTGGGTCTGGGAACCTGGAACTACACCTCCCAGGAAGCTTGGTGGTCGATGGTTTGTTTCCGGAAGCAAAGCCCCAGGAGGGTGGGACCTAAAGCTGGGAGACTACGGAAGCAGCTCTCAATTGGTCAGGATATAAGATTGACGACTGCATTAACTAATAGGAGCAAGCTTCTGCCGAAGGGGCCCGCCCACAGAAGGGTGGTGGCCATGGTCCAGGCTGGACACAACCAAAGGCGGAGGAGCCGTGGCCCACGAAGCTCATCTTTGAACTGTCCCCGCCCGCCTCCCGCCTTGATTTGTGACCCTAGGCCCTTTGGGGCGCCTCTGACCCAGCTAGCCAGATCCTGGACCCAAACCATGTTCCCCGTGAAGGTGAAAGTGGAGAAATCAGGTGAGGACCCTGACGTCGGGGGCCTGTCGGGACCATCGGGTTGACAGGGTGTGGAGTCCCGGTAGAAGGGAGTATCGCGGAAAGGGGACTGCACGACTTTTCCCTGCAGCCCACCTGACAATCGCTGTATCAGGCAGCGAGCGTTGGCTGCCACCTTCACACCCTCCCGGTCTGCGCTTGAAGTCTCTTTGAGATTGAATGGTGGTGGCTCAGGCAGTGCGGTGCGTGGTAAGATATGGGGAATCCTGAGCCGGTAACTCTGAGAAGGGCCCTTTTCTCTTTTTTTTTAATCTAAATTTTTAAAATATTTAAGTAGAGACGGAGTATCGCTCTATTGCCCAGGCTGGTCTCGAACTCCTGACCTCAAGTGATCCTCCCGCCTTAGCTTCCTAAAATGCTGAGATTACAGGCGTGAGCCCCCGCGCCCGGCCGAGAAGTTCTCTTTTCTTGGCTTCCCCTCAGTTTCCCCATTTCCAGCAGTGATCAGTCACACATACTTGCTGTGAGCCTGAAGTACAGGCACTCTTAATCCTCACAGTCACTATATTCCAGTAATCCTAGGAAATAGGAATTGTGGTCATTGGGGAAACTGAAACTTAGATCATTTTGGGTTGGAGCAGAGCTGACCGGATCGCAGGCCTGGCATGGTAAGGGCAGTGGGAGGGGTGCAGAATTTAGACAGAAAGATAATAGTAAAATGATGTAGGATGTCCCATGGCAAAAGTGTTATCAAAACAAAGTGGGAGGCCAGGTGTGGTGGCTCATGCCTGTAATCCCAACACTTTGGGAGGCCGAGGCCGGCAGATCACTTGAGGTCAGGAGTTTGAGACCAGCCTGGGCAACATGGCAAAACCCTGTCTCTATAAAAAATACAAAAAAAAAAAAAAGAGAGAGAAAGAAGAAAGAAAGAAAGAAAAGAAAGAAAAGAAAGAAAAGGAAAGAAAAGGAAAGAAAGAAAATTAGCCAGCCTCTAGTCCCAGCTACTCAGGAGGCTGAGGCAGGAAGATCGCTGGAGCTGGGGAGGTGGAGGTTGCAGTGAGCTGAGATCACACCACTGCACTCCAGCCTGGGTGATAGATTGAGACCCTGAAAAAAAAAAACAAACAAACAAAGAAAAAACCAAAAAACGAAGAAAGAAAGAGAGAGAGAGAAAAAAAGAAAGGAAAAGGGAGGGAGGGAAGGAAGGAAGGATAAAGGAAGGAAAAAGGAAAGGAAAGGAGAAAGAAAGAAAAGGAAGGAAGGAAAGAAAGAAAAAGAAAGAAAGAAGAAAAGAAAAGAAAAAGAAAGAAAAGTGAAGTGGGTCTGACCACAAATGATGGTGAGGGAAGGTATACATCTCTTAGTACCAGGCTGAGGAGTGCAGACTCCACCCCTGGGTGCTGTAGAGTCATGGAAGGTTCCAATGGAAGGTTCCAAGCAGGGGAAGATCAGGGTCAGGTTTGTTATTTTCCTGGAAGATTCCCCTGGCTGCCTTGTGGAGGGTGGATCAGAAGGGGACACTGAGGTGGGAGCCCAGGGGGAGCAAAGGTCTGGACCAGCATGGGTAGAGTGGAGAGGAAGTAGGTGGGAGAGACACTAGGGAGGCCTAGTGGACAGGTCATGGGATTGGTGGGCTGGGGTAGGGGAGAGAGAGGGGTATTCATGGTGAGGTACAGGGAGGAACTTGGGGACAGTGAGGCGACCCTTGAGAGGGAGGCTTCAG